TTAAAAATATATAGAAAATTATATATTTTTTGTAAATTATATACGATTTATTAATGATTACGTTATTATGAAATACGATTATGTAATTATATATCATATATAATTTACAAAACAAAATATATATTTTTATATATTTGTAATAATATATTTATTTCTTCACGGAAAGCTATTAAAAATAATATAGCTTAGAAAGACAGATATATTTTAACAATAAATAAAGTAAAATTATGAAATGAATCAATGTGCTTTATCAAAGTCTATGTAACAAGTCAAAGTAAAAATAAAATCATATTATCTTACTAAAGAACTCCTTAATGTTTAGATGTTTTTATTTAACTGAATATCTTTATAAAATTGATAATTTTGAAACTATTAGTATTGTAATGTATGAACAAATATTCCCATCACCAGTTTGTATATTTTTATTGTTTGAAATGCATGTTGTCTTTTTCACACTCACTTCTAGCTGTAACTTAAATCTATAAATGGGCAAGGGCAGCAGGTCCCAAAAACCTCAATTTCTATTTCCTGAGCGATTAATACTGCATTATAGTATGTTAAATTTTGTTCTTGTAGTAATCGAGTTCTAGATTCCTGGAGAATTAGTCCATGTATGAATTGATTAATTAAGTTTTCAGTTGTGTAAAAGTCAGAACTGCATTCATTAATTATCAAGGTTAAAGCGTTGGCATAGTGAGACACATTTTCACCGTACATTTGTTTTCGATTCTTAAAACGATATTCAGCTGCAGCCTCTCCTCGAAAGTATGAGTATGTTTGCTCTAACATTGATATGAGCTCTTTGTATGAAAATTCGAAAGGGTCGTAAGGAGTTACTAGTAACGCCAAAATTTCATAAACTGAAGGTTCGAGCATATATAATAAAAATTCAGCCTCTGTTTCTTCTGTTACTTCAAGAAAATCTGCTACAAACTCGAAACAATTTAGCCATTTAAGAAAATCTGCTTCTATCGGCTCGAATCTATTGAGTAAATTCATTCCTCGTTTAACTAATTCTATCATTCCATCCATTGTCCTTATTATATAAATGACCAATAACGGTTTTTTATTATAACTGCACGTAATTTGATAACTTGTTTGAAGTACTTTTGTTTCACCTCCACTTTATACTTTTTGTAATGAGCTTAAGAATTCGGTTATTATGAAAGATAAGAATGCTTTATATTTAGAATTATTCGTTTTTCTGTTATAATCTGTGAACGAAGGATCGCAGTGTTATATTTAGAATGAAAAATTGTGATAACAAATGTATAATATTAACAAGATTAGAAATTATTGAAGTTTTCAATTATATTCTAGCTGTTTGGCGTAAACTAAACAATTATCTGTTTAAATTTAACTGTTTAGATACAGGTAAGATAAACAGTAGATATTTAGCGCCTAAAATATGTCCTTTGTCAAGGTAACAATATTATGGACCATTATAAACAGTTGAAAAAGTATAGCAGATTTAAATATTAACAAATGCCAACAGTTACTAATTCAATCTTGTTAATCGTTCTTATAAAGATTTCATACTTTTGTAAAATTAAAAGTATTTTATAAACTTTAATTGTGTGTAACATATTCTGTTCATTTTGATCTCCCGATATCTTATTACACATTTGTTTCTGATCTTATTTCCTATCAACACTCAAATTATCGAATTTAAGCAGTGCCGCATACTATGTGTCAATCCGTATAAAAACATCTTAACTAAATTTGATTTTTCGATTAAGAACTTATTTTTAATAATATACTCGTTTTAAAGAATCATTACAATTTTCGTTTTCGTCATTTCTTGTCAATAACAAATCTCTATTAATTGTATTAATTTAATGTAAGATAGGAATGAGAACCTAAATTAAAATTTTTTAACTATTGCAATAATATGCAGCATTATTGTTAACAGAAAAAAATACAGCTTTAATGCATGCTTATTCTTTTTATCTTTTATAACTAAGCTACCAATATAAACGAAGTCAACGTGATTTATCTGTGCAACAATTCACACTAGAAAAGAAACCATTTTCGTAATCGAGAGATTATTAAATTAATGATCGTAAAACTATTGTTACTTTAATACTTAATATACGAAGAAACATTCGTTCCTTCGCTTTGCATATTTTTATTATTTAACAAGCATGTAGTCTTATTTCATCTCCTCTTCTCGCTGATATGTAAATTTGTACATTTAGTTTAAAAACTATCAAATCCTATTTCCTAAGCTATTATTAATGCCGTATGGAATGATAAATTTGGTTCTTGTAGTAATTGATTTCTAGCTTCCTAGCTTTTATTAGTCAATTTATCGAATCGATTAAGTAAATTATCACTTGTGTTGAAGTCAGAACTGTAGTCATTAATTATCATGTTTAAAGCTCCTTCACAGTATCGTCGATCATTTGAATTCGAGTCTTGAAACGATATTCAGCAGCTAACTCTTCTTGAAAGGTTGAGTATAATT